AGTTGTTAATCCTGATGGTGTTATATTATCTGTTGTTGATAATTTTGCTGGTAGATCATATTGTTGAAGTAGTATAGCAATACCTAGATCAACAATATGTAATTGAAACATAAGATTAAGTTCTCTATTAGGTGCAGGAGATGTTGGAACATTAACAATTGAACGTAAACGTGTTGAATCACTTGTTGGAGTTGTAAATGCACCACGTTGTTCATTCCAATGTTCATATGTATTTTTATAATTTAACCAAAAAAGTATTCCTATATGTAAACGACATTGAATGAGAAAAAAACAACATAAGAAGTTTTACATACCTTTATCAATAGCACCAGGTTGCCAATAGAAACTTGGTTTTGTTAAACGAATAAAATAAGCTTCTTTATCTGGATCATCCGACTAAAATAAGAATCAAGTTTTCAATATGACATCTGTCTCAAAAAACTTCAAACTTACTTGTAATGAATTTTTTAAAAGTAATTTTGTTTCAAAATAAGCAGCATCTTGAAAACTACCTGTATGTAATAATTGTCCTAGACTAAGTTTAATATTTAATAGTGCATTAATTAATGATTTATTATATAATAATAAAGAATTTTGTTCATCATAATTTGTTAATTTAACAAATATTGGTACTTTTTTATCATCATTTTCAAATTTAACTATTGTATTTGATGGCGTTTGTCTCATGACTTCAAAACCTTTCATTGACATATGTATTGTATATATAAATAATGTTGATGGTGTCGTTTGTTGATCTTTTTCGGTTCATCATCATCTTCATTTTCTGTATCTGTTGAACCAATACGTATAATAGATACTTTTGATGATAATGATAAACGTGTATGTTTTGTTGTTCCAAAATAAAATTCATCAAATCCAGAAACTTTTGCAAGAATTTCATTTATTTCATGTATAATGACTTTTGAAACAAAAACTAATTATGCAAGAAAATCAGCTGTTATAGTTAATTTAAGTACATCAACTTTTATATGAAGATTTAAACCACGTTTTGTTTTATTTTCTTGTTCTTGTTGAATAGAATAATTTCCATAACAACGTATTTCAGGAAAATCAATTCGTAGATGATTATATGAACTAACTGTTGGAGGTTGTTAATGATCATGATTATTATTATTATTTAACAAATGTAAAGCATGTTTATGTATAATAGTTGTAAAACATGATTTCATTCCACTAATATTGGCAACACCCATTTTATATTGAGCTTTTAATGTTAAAAGAAGTGTTGTAGAAAATGTCATTCGTTGACAATGTGCTGTTAGATGAGGTTTAAATATAGGTCGTTTCGATGATGTAAATATATTTTGTTGAGTTTCTAATGGACGTGGATTTATATTACGATTAATTGTATCTCTGCGACGTGTACCTAAACGTTTTCTTGTTATTGTTTGTTCTAATGGAATTGGTGTAGTAGGTTCTTCAATAGTATCATTTAAACTTGTATTAATTAATTCATTATCTGTATCAGTTGTTGTTGGTATTGAAGATGTTTGTTCTGTATCATCGGGAAGAAATTCTTGAACATACGATGTTATTAAACGACCAGCACGATTAACAAGATCATGAACTTCTTGTGGTCTTAATGATACATCCATTGCAATTGTACCAATATTTGTTACACCACTTAATGTTAAATTAATACCACGTGTTTGAAGTGATGTTAATGCTTGAGATTTACCAACAATTATATCAAGAACAGGTATCTGTCGACTGGATGAAGTAGTACTGGAAGATGATGGATGAATTGTTGGAATATTTGTCGATGGAAAATTATCGGTAGACGTAGAAAGAGTTTCTTTTAAAGAAAGTGATGTTGAACCAATTTGAAGAATTAATGAACCATCATATCTAAATATTAAATTTAATTAAGTGTGTAAAATTAATCTTCATCTTACGCTCTTGTATTTCGATTATTTGTTGTTGATTGTAAAGCTCGAAGTCTTTGTGATAAACTAACATTTTCTTGAGCTTTTCCCATACAACCATCAACTTTTAAACCACCTAAAGAAGCTGCATAATGTACTTCATCGATAATTAATCAATCAGATGATGAAAGTAAGTGTTTCATTTATTACGTTTATTCCCATATAACGTGTTGGATGTTGTTGTTGTTGTACATGTTCATTTAGTGGTTGTGTGAACTACTTCTTTGTTGTTTTCGTGTTGTTATTGATGGTTGAATTGGTTTTATTTCTGGTACAATTCTATAATTAGAAACAAGTTCACGTCATTTTTTCCAACATTGTCGTTCAGAATTATCTGATTCATTATTATCAAGATGAAGAATATTCGGATCAAGTGATCTTAAAACAAGAGTTTGAATACCATTTTAGGCGTAAGAATAGTAGATATTTTGTTGTTCATTTGTATTTACATCTGATTCTGTTATTGCATCAATATCTGTATATTTAAGTGCATTACCAACACCTGTATAGAATAGATAAACAAGACGTATAAATGATAAATTTACTTCTTGTAAAACACGTATATCAGCTTGTACATTAGCAGAATGTAATTGATCATATTCAAGTGATTGT